CCTGGTGTATAAATTATGTTTGGCAAAACAAGCAAACGTCAAAAGTGAGAAAGGAATTATTAAGTGTGATCTTGCATGAGACAGGAGTTCATCTGTCTGTTCACTGATTTGCATTGAGAAAAAAGGGCAAATTAAAGGTGAGAATGATTTCTTGCAGAAGCCTTGTGTGCTAATGTTCTGTTGCAAGTCATATTGCCACATTTTTAAATCATTTCTCTGAATTATTATTGAATGACATTTTAAAGGGATAGTTCACCCCAAAATGAAAACATACTCACTATTTACTCATCCTCAAGTGGCTCCAAACCTTTATGAGTTTCTATATTCTGTTAAACACTAAAGAAGATATTTCAAAGAAAGCTGAAAAACTTTACCACTGACTTCCACACAAGGAAAAATGAATACTATGGAAGTAAGCAGTTACAAGTTTCCAAAATTCTTCAAAATATCTTCTTTTGTCTTCAACAGGTTCAGAAGAAGTAAAGAGTGAGTAAATGGTAACTGAATTTACAGTTTTGGCCAAACTATCCCATATAGGTATGTATAAGCAGGGCTTAACATTAACTTTTTTGACCACCAGCCACTGTGGCTAGTAGTTTTCCAACATTACTAGCCACTCGCCAGTTTCACTAGCCACAATTTTATTGTTGGGAAAATATATTTTATACACATAAATATGACTTGGACATGCTAAAATTATTTGGTTTAGAGTTTGCGTTATCTCTACATGCCTCCTCTTTCACTTTTTGAGTGTCGTGTATGAGCTTGCTCAATAACCATGAGCAAATGGGTCAGGGTTTCATATATTACAATTAGTTTTCATAATTTTCAAAGCCCAAGGATTTACCCAATTTATCTCTGACCACACCATACATAAACAGTTAATTATTTCTTAGCCACAAATTTTAAACGTGTCAAAACAAGCAAAATATAGCTGCATACTATACTTTTTATTTAACAAAGCATATGCACAGTCATATGTCCTGGCTAAAGGTCCCAGATCACCGGTTAACTACACATAAATGGGGAGTTATTCTCCCATTAAAGCAATGTTATTCTAAAAAATGATAATTAAACCATATTAATGCAAAAGAAAGCAGGTAAAAAAACACACTGTGTGATAATGAAAAGATGATCACACACACATGCTTAATGATAGACCCATAAATTATATTTTCAAACTGCAAGCAACTGGCGCTGCTTACAATAAGTCAACTCTGGAACTCTTGAAAGCAGCTAGACTGTAGGTGCACGTTCCTCCCTTTTTGTTCAGTCTATTTGAAAGAGAATCAATCGCATAAGTTGTGTTTCTAGACACAGTAGCTTCACAAAAGGAAACGGGAGCGCGCACGCGTTATAAACAGTCACGCGCATCACCTCAGCTGTTAGCGCAAGTGATTATCCTCTCATTCGGTAATCACCTGCTTTGCTTGCGTGAAGTTGCGAGCGCAATTTTTTTTTTTGTCAGTCATGTTGCTTCTTAATCACCTGTCATGCATATTGGACCATCCTTATGTTCGAACCCTGCTTTGAAGAATTATTATCTGGGAAAATTATTTTCAACCAGCCAAAGGGGCCAGTGGGAGTGTCTGTCTTACCCGCCACCGCCAAAATCTACCCGCATTTGGCGGGTGTTAATATAAAGCCCTGTGTATAAGTATATAAGGTATGTGTTGAGTCTTATAATACTGCATTGTGACATTACTCATAAGAGAGAAAGAGTTTTGAATGTGTTGCCATATCAGCCTCTCTGGCTATTTCATGGCAAACATTTTCTAAATATCACTTTTCTATATTAATTAAAAAGTAAAACAATAAAAATACGACATAACCACAACCAATCAAACCCCTCTTCGTTTAACACCTCTGAATGTTTTTTTCTCAACACAATTCTAGATGTTGACAGTACTAATGCCCACATAAACACGCAAGCTAAAGTAGACAAGCTAGACAGCATCTGTAACTAAGACACATCTTCTGTCAACAATGCATAGTTGAGTGCGAATAATTAACTTCATATGCCAATGCGCTGAGCTGTTAGTTATTACAGCGCCAGATAATCAGACTCGGCGTGGGCTGGACTGCACTCCCTCAGGCCAGCTGGAGAATTGAGCACTTCCATACTGCTCGGCTGACAGATCTAATCAGATGCGTTTGACAGTAAGAAGGTTCATGCGCTTCAGGATAAGATGACTGTGCTGGAAACAGTGGAGGAGGAGCAAAGACAGATTAAGAGTATTTCTCAACCGCCTGCGCTGTTACCTTTTTGTTAAGGTTCATGTTCTCCATCTTGGCCTTGAGCAGCTTCATTTTGCCCATTGTGATGGAGTTTTCTAGCGTCTGCAGCTCTGAAGAAGCACTTTCTTGTTCCTCCTCCTCCTCTGCGCGCACATTTCGTACAGAAGCACCACTGAAAGCACACAAAATAAGTAACTCTCATTATTTGTGTTTAATAGTGGTGATGGTTTCGCTTGTTTGTTTTTTTACATATATATTCATTTTGATATTTGATAAATATTGAATTAATAGTGATGATCAAGTACTAGTGTGTTTTACAAAACATTTTACATTTATTTTATGTTGTAAAAAAAAGAAAAAAGAAATGTTTGGAATTCTATTAACAAGCACACACTTTGTTTTAATTGTATTTAACAGAGTTATTAATTTTCTTTTTTTTTACACTTATATATTTGGAATTTGCTAAATGTTGTATTAACAGTGCTGGTAACTCATTCAATTTCTTTTCCGCTTTATCTTTTTATTAATCAGGGGTTGCCACCAATGAACCACCATTTATTCAGCATATGTTTTACACAGCGAATGCCCTTCCAACACTGGGAAACACCCATACACTCTCATTCACACATACAGTTGAAGTCAGAATCATTTCTCCAATTTCTGTTTAACGGAGAGAAGACTTTTTTTCAACACAAAGAATAGTTTTAATAACTCATTTCTAATAACTGATTTATTTTTTTTTTGCCATGATGAGAGTAAACAATATTTTACTAGATTTTTCAAGACACAGCCTAAAGTGACATTTAAGGGCTTAACTAGATGTTAGGTTACCTAGGCAGGTTAGAGTAATTAGGCAAGTTATTGTATAATGATGGATTGCTCTGTAGACTATCGAAAGAAAATCTAGCTTAAAGGGGCTAATAGTTTTGACCTTAAAATGGGTTTTAAAAAAAATTGTTGAACTGCTTTTATTCTAGCCAAAATAAAAAAGTAAGAATTTCTCCAGAAGAAAAAATATTATCAGACATACTGTGAAGTTTTTCTTGCTCTGATATACATAATTTGGGAAATATATAAAAAAAAAAATTAAAAGTAGTAATAATTCTGACTTTAACTGTATACACTATGGACAATTCAGCGTATTTAATTAATCTACAGCGCATGTCTTTGGACTGTGGGGGAAACCGATGCACCCGGATGCAAACTCCACACAGAAATGTCAACTGACCCAGCCAGGACTGGAACCAGCGACTAGGGATGGGTACCGGAACTCTGTACTTTATCTGTATCGGTGCTATATTATAAACAAACGATATCAATATGGTCTGACGTTAACAGTTCTGGTATCGGTACTGGTTCATTATTGCTGAATAAACATTGCATACAGTTGCATAATTTAACTGACCAACCTTTTCTAATTTGCGTTATTTGATATTCGTCTGCACAGTTGGCAATCTCACATGTAAAATACTTGTGTTTCTGGCGAGCGCGTCGAGTAAAAAGCTTCAAGGTTCTCGGCTATGCACACGCACACACATAGCTCGTAAGCTTCCAGAGTGGCGGAAAGAGCCAAATGGGTTGCATTTCCTGAGTGGACAACGACAATGCTCGTTGCAACAAACGCAAGAAGTTTGACTAAGCATATTTTTAAAAAGTGCATTAACTGCAGAAAGACAAATAAAAAGTTTTCGACTGCTTAGCTAAAGGTACATCCTCCACATCGTTATGCTAGCAGTCAATTACATAAGGCAGGGGAGTCCAAACTCAGTCCTGGAGGGCCGTTGTCCTGCAGATTTTAGCTCCAACTTGCCTCAAGACACCTGCAAGGATGTTTCTAAAAAGCCTATTAAGAGCTTGTTTAGCTAGCCCAAGTGTGTCTGATTGGGGTTGGAACTAAACTTTGCAGGACACCGGCCCTCCAGGACCGAGTTTGGACATGCCTGATATAAGGGCTCTCTAAATTAGTATAATAATAGTTTAATAAACACAAACATTTGGTTACATTGAAAAAAGTATGTTTTTTTCTGTAGAAGCCTAAATAAATCCTAAACACATTACTTACATTATTGTATTTACTAATATAGCTTATGAATAGCCTAATAATAAACTATGCTGACTAAGAAATGATAGAAAACAGCTTTTTTTTTTTGCTTTGTAACTCCCAAAACACTGTTAACTCATTTATGTGAATGTGTTAATGAAAAATCTTAAACATTATCTGATTATTTAACGGCATTTTGCAACTCAAAGAGGGTATTTTCAGGCAGGGAGCACAATAAACCAAGAAAAATTCTGACTTCTGATGGAAAAAGCAAACATGTTGAATTTTCTCCAGAAGAATGGTAAAAAACTGCCAGTCATTTTCCTTCAAACCATTGTACATTATTTTAAGGAATTTTTTTTATTTAATTGTTTTACAATGATTGTTTTTCCCCCTTAACAATGTAATAATAAAATAAAGTGTCGTTTTTCATTAAAAAAGTACTAATAAAGGAATAAGCTAAATAAACACACTGTGCCACTGTGACGCCCCAGTGATGATAATTTACTAGTTATTTTAGATAATGTTTGAGGTTATGATTATTTTACAATACATTTTACATTTTACAATATTTTGCATTCATTTTTGTTCGTTTAATATAAACAATAATCATCACACACAACTCTAAGATTAGGTGATGCAGTGGCGCAGTAGGTAGTGCTGACGTCTCACAGCAGGAATGTCGCTGATTCGATCCTCGGCTCAGTTGGCGTTTCTGTGTGGAGTTTGCATGTTCTTCATGCGTTCGCGTGGGTTTCCTTCGGGTGCTCTGGTTTTCCCTACAGTCCAAAGACATGCGGTACAGGTGAATTGGGTAGTCCCAGTGCTGATAATTTACTTGTTTTTTTAGATAATAGTTAGGTTAGGTTAGGTTAATAAAAGGTTAGGATTATTTTGCAACACAATTCCCATTTAGTTTACATTTTTTGATGTATAAAAAAGAAATGTGTTTTAGATTATTTAAGCATAGTAGTGCTGTTTCTTTTCTTTTCTTCTTTCACATTTATATTTATTTTTATATATAATATATTATATATATTATATATTTGATTTATTTTTGCTAAATATTGAATTAACAGTTATGACAAATTTTGTTGTATTTTAGATACCATTTCTCTACAACCAATTCTTAGATTATGGTGTGTGTAACTGTGCTGTTCATTTTCCTTTTTAAATGCACTGGATGAATGCCATTTTGGATTTATGAGTGGAGTTTTATGAAAAAGTCTCATCTGCTGAAAAAGCTCAAGGGGGTTCAACAAAGGCCTGTGGTTAATGAAGCAAAAAAAAAGCATCTGGTTACAACACTGGATGTCTGTTAGATTATTAAAATATAATTTGAAATAAAACATGAAAGTTTTTGTAACTTTTATTTTCTGTGTAAAACTGAAAATGTTTGACAATAGGCTTTTTTTCCTATGAAAATGTTTTATGCGTCATAATGACAGCTGACTGACACACTAAAAGCTGTAAATCATGCATGGAATCTGGAGTTTGTCATTTCTGTGTCAAAATGAAACAAACAAACAAAAAAAAAGAGAGAAAAATTAATTACATTTAACATTTGGTGAGTGAAATGTCACTACAGTGCTGTCAGTGGGCGAAGGTATGTTACAAAATAATAATAATAGTACTCAGCTTTCCATGTGTTGCTATGCAGTTGCTAGGGTGTTCTGGCTTGCCCAAGTCTCTGATATTCTAGTGCTTAGATTAAAAATGATAATGCTGTTAAATTTTGAGATTTGCCGAAGAAACTATGTTATCGGTGATGTTAATGGTCTGTTTTTTGCAAGAAACCTTTGCTGTTTGTTGGTTTTGTTGGTTTTTGGAATTCCATTTAGTAATTCTACAAAGGACGAAGACTTCAAAGGTCAGTACTTCGAAATCCTCACAGGCCGAACGGAGCGTTTTGAAATTAGATGATCTTGCCTACAAAGGACAGATCTCATCACCTAGCAGCCTAAACAGCTGCCGTTTATAAGCAGCAATAAATTGTGTAGTCTTTTTTCAATGTGATTTTAAAACTTATTTTAAGCAATCTGAAAGCAAATCAAGGTTTACACAAGCTGGAAATATAATTCTTTTGATACATGTACACATAAAAATGTCAACTGTCTATAAAATCACTTTTTAGTAATAGATTTATTATTCTTTTAATTTTTTTAAACGTGTTTAGATTTCCAAGTAAAATTAAGCCTAATTCATACATTTAATCCAGAGTTTTCTTTTAAAAACGTCCTGTCTTTATTAGCGCGCAATGAATCTTGGAATGTTCGAGGCCACAAAGGATCCACCGGTTGTGTCCTTTATTACCTGGGAAATGAAGGACGTGTTTTAAGGCTGTATTTGAAGAAGCCTTTGAATTTTTTTTTAAATGAGACACAATGACGCAGAGCCCTTCGAATGCATCCTTTGGAAGATGCAGCCTCTGAAATAAGAGACACACCCAATGTCAGTGTATTGGTGTTTCTATTCAATTTTAAGGTTTTAGTTGTATTAGGCATGCTATTGCAAATATTACAATATCTATATTTCAAATGAATAATATTAATAGATACATTTTCAATTTCAAGGTTTGTCAATGATATATGAAATTAATGAAATTGTGTTATGCTAACAATGCAAATTTGACAATATCTAACTCTCTCTCTCTCTCTCTCTCTCTCTCTCTCTATATATATATATATACACATATATATATACACATATATATATATATATATACACATATATATATATATATATATTTATTTATTAACACACACACACACACACACACACACACACACACACTTGTTAAAGGTCCATAATTAACGGGACAGAATAATAATCATACATCAAACTTTCGCTTTTTAATACTTGGTTGCAAACCGTTTGCAGTCAATTATATCCTGAAGTCTAGAACACATGGACACCATTAAACGCTGAACTTCATTCCTGGTGGTGCTCTGCCAGGCCTTTACAGCAATTGTCTTCAGTTGCTTGTTCTTGAGGCATTTTCCCTTCAGTTTCAGCAAGTGAAATGCATGCTCAATTGGATTCATATTAGGTGACTGACTTGGCCATTGCATAAAATTCCACTTCTTTCTCTTCAAAAACTCTTTGGTTGCTTTTGCAGTATGCTGTGGGTCAATCTCCATCTGCACTGTGAAGTACCGTGCAATGAGCTTTAAAGTATTTTACATAACATGAGCAGAAAATATTGCCTGAAACACTTCAGAGTTCATCCTGCTGCTTTTTTCAGCAGTCACATCACTAATAAATACAAGAAAACCAGTTTCATTGACAGCCATACATGTCCAAGCCATGTCACTACCACCACCATGCTTCACTGCTTAGGATCATGAGCAGTTCCTTTCCTATTCCATACTCTTGTCTTCCTATCACTCTGGTACAAGTCGATCTTGATCTCATCTGTCCATAGCATGTTGTTTCAGCTCTGTGAAGGCTTTTTTAGAACTCTAATCCAGCCTTCCTGTTTTTGAGGCTTACCAATGGTTTACATCTTGTGGTGAACCCATCTGTATTCACTCTGGTGTAGTCTTCTCTTGACTGTAGACTGTTGACGCTGACACAAACACCAACCTTCTGGAGAGTGTTCTTGATCTGGCCAACTGTTGTGAAGTGTTTTTTCTTCTTCAGGAAAAGAATCCTTCTGTCCACCATAGTTGCTTCCGTGGTTTTCCGGGTCTTCTGGTGTTGCTGAGCTCACTGGTGCGTTTGTTCTTTTTAAGAATATTCCAAGCAGTTGTTTTGGCCATGCCTGATGTTTTTGCTATCTCTCTGATGGGTTTGCCTTGTTTTTTCAGCCTAATGATGGCTTGCTTCACTGATAGTGACAGCTCTTTGGATCTCATCTTAAGAGTTTACAGTAACAGATTCCAAATGCAAATAGCACACTCTGGACCTTTGTATCTGCTCATTGTAATTGGGATAATGAGAAACTAACACAGACCCAGCCATGGAACAGCTGAGAAGTCAATTGTCCAATTACTTTTGGACCCTTAACAAGTGGGAGGCACATATGCAAACTGTCTACACCACAGGTGTCAAACTCAGTTCCAAAAGGGACGCAGCTCTGCACAGTTTAGTTCCAACCCTAATTAAACACACCTGACCAAACTAATTGAGTCCTTCAGGCTTGTTTGAAACCTACAGGTAAGTGTGTTGGAGCAGGGTTGGAACTAAACTGTGCAGGGCTTCGGCCCTTTTGGAACTGAGTTTGACACCCCTGGTCTACACCATTCACCTGATTTGGATGTAAATACCCTCAAATTAAAGCTGACAGTCTGCAGTTAAAGCACATCTTGTTTGTTTCATTTCAAATAAATTGTGTTGGTGTATAGAGCTAAACAATTTTAGAATTATGTCAATGTCCAAATATTTATGGACCTATCTAATGTACAGGGTGATTCATTTATATGGATACACTTTAATAAAATGGGAATGGTTGGTAAATTTAACGTCTTGTTTGTGGCACATTAGTATATGTGAGAGGGCAAACTTTTTAAGATGGGTGGTGACCATGGTGGCTATTTTGAAGTCGGCCATCTTGGATCTAACTTTTGTTTTTTCAATAAGAAGAGGGTTAATTGACACATCAACATTTTTTCTTTCATGAGTTATTTAAAAGTTTCTGACCACTTAAAATGTGTTCAAAGTACTGCTAATTGTGTTGGATTCTCTCTTCTCCTCTTCTCCCACTCTTCACACTCTGATAGCAACACCGCAGGAGAAATGCCAGCACAGGCTTCCAGTAACCGTAGTTTCAGGTGCTGCACATCTTGAATCTTCACACCATAGACAACAAATATAGTGGGGCCATTCTTTATCAATGGAAACCTCAAGGCCACTGGATATTTGATATTGCTACATGATGATGTTTCCCTCTTTATGCACTGAAGCTGGCACGTTCTCTGAGTTTTTCCCGCAAGATGGTGCACCACCACATTAAGGGTGTCATGTCCGAGCACTCCTACATGAACAGTTTCCTGAAAAGTAGATTGGTCATCGTGGGCCAGTTAAATGTCCCCCAAGGTCTCCCAATCTGAAACCCTTAGACTTTTATCTTTGGGGTGACCTGAATGCAACTGTCTATGGTGTGAAGACCACTGAGAACACCTATGTTTTTCTTGTGAAATTCCCAATAAGTTTGATGTGTCAATAGACCCTCTTTCTATTAAAAAAAAAACTAAAGTTGGATCCAAGATGGCCAACTTCAAAATGACCACCATGGTCACCACCCATCTTGAAAAGTTTGCCCCCTAACATATACTAATGTGCCACAAACAGGACATTAATATCACCAACCATTCCTATTTTATTAAGGTGTACCCATATAAATGACCCACCCTGTATAATGGAACCATATACAACTGTTTTATTCTATGTGATATACAGCATATGTAATAAACTGCAATGTTTACCAGTACATGCTGAAGCATATCTTCATTGCTAAAACAGCATGACACATGAAGACAGTAGCTCTGAAACATCTGCTTGCATCTAAAAAAGGGGAAGTAGAGTGTAGTGCGCATGCAGTTGTTCCTCTTAGCGAGTCATTTCTCTTCTTTGAACTGACCTCAATGATTCAGACACAGGTGTGAGTGTCCCATCGCCCCGATCCACCACGCGGAAGAAATTGAGCTGGTCTCCCTCGCGGTACACCAGGAAGGTGACCTGTTTATTAGGCAGAGATTTTTCCCACATCTCCTCTCTCCCGGCATCAAGGCAGTCGCTGATATCCCGCACAGAGTCATCTGTCACTGTCACTGCAGGTAACCAGAAGAAGCAGGATGCAGGTCACGCTAATCGATAGCAGACTGTTAACTAACTGTGCGCTTGCAATGATAATGAGCAGTGCTTCTTTTTCTTTTCTTGACCTCAAAAACATTGCACAACAGCACATAGGAAGGATCAGAAAGTTGCAGCAAAGCCAGCATGCACTGCAGAACTCTGGTTAAGACTTTCAATAGGCAGTTTAAAGCGTGCTCAGTGGTTTACCCTCATTATGTTTTCATGCGGTTTACAGTTGCAGAAACGTTCATGTGTAGCGTTACATAATCGGGGAAAACAATGCTGAAGAGCGATTGAAACAAGTTGAATTGACCGTAATACACACTGCCTGAGAAGTCACTGATTGAAATTAAGCAAGCAAATGCAAGTAATTAATATGTTTCTTGCTTGTTATTTGTTTGCAAACCATTCTTACTAATGTAGTGTGTATCTTTTTATGTCTTAAAGGGACAGTTCACCCAAAGCTAAAAATGTATTTACTCGGACTTCACTTGTCACAAACCTGTCCAGTTGTAAATTACTTCTGAAGACCAGCATTATTCAAAGGATAATAATGTGTAATACAGCCATAAATGCGGTTGCTGTCATGATCTCAGGGCGTACTCACACTATGTATAGTTGCCTTGAACTGGGCCAAAGCACGCTTGTCCTCCCTCCCGTCTCCCCCGACAGCCCGCACTCACATTACATTTGGGCCTGAGCACACTTACGTCTTCGATGATGCGCTGTTCAGTAAGCGCTCTCGCTCAGCACAGTGGAGATTTTTTTCAGTTATATTGTTTAAGTCATTTGATATGCAGTAACAAGCAGTAAAATATTTCTCTAAACCGATCAGCCATATTTGACGCTCATAAACAATCATAAATTCCTCGTGTTGCAGGAATTAGGAGGTTTGCTGAAGGTGCAGCTGTCGTGCAGTGAGGGGTTTGCGTCTTTAATAAACTACGACAGTGTGCGTTCATTGAACAGTAAGAATGATTAATAAATCTGTATCAAACAGTCCCTTAAAAGTCACGTCTCGATTTGTGAACCACGCTTAACCTCTTTCAACCGGGCCAGGGCCGGCCAAATGAACATTGCCTGAGCCCGATTCAGAGCACTCGCACTTCTCAAACGATCTGGGAAACGGGCCCGGCAACAGTTCGGATAGGATAGTGTGAGTAGGCCCTCATTCTTTTCAGAAGTGCATGAGCATTAGCTTGGACAACCTGAAAATATGCCAATTTTGTTTGATTGGAATGTTTAGAAACTAAAATTATGAAACGGTTGTCATTTAATTTTATTGGTGATTCCAAAAATGTAATCATAAGCTTGGCAAACAGTTTTGTAGAATTTGAAGTGTCCCCATTCAGACAGAATGCCAGAGCATACTGCCTGAGAGGCATTTCAAAGATGGCTGCCGAGTAAAATGACTTGCCTTAAAGTACAGATTATGTTAATAATGCAGTGACCTTTTGAAAGCCATGTATCATGTATGATAGACATAATTTGTCTGAGTTAATACACAAAGAGCAGTGATGGCATTTAATCTGGCAGACAAGATTCAAAGGTATTGTTATTAAGCTGAAAGCAAACCAGAGTTTTACAAATAAACACAATAAACTAATAGGACGAATAACTTGGTTAAAAAAATAAAGATTTAAAAATGAAGCCAGCATTACATGAACCTGTCGTTCACAATGACACTTTCAACAGCAAAAATCCCGGTGGATACGCACCTCGTCTAGTGTTTACAGGTCCTCCTCTCATGGCGAGCACCAGCTTGAGTGTGCAGCCCTCTGTGATGCTGTAAAAAAACATGGAGAGAAAAAAACTCATGCATACTGTGGCATAATAAACCCAAAACCGCCACAGTCTATAGTCTGCCTCTATAAATATTTGCTTCACTTCAAATCTGAAGCACAACGAGCCATCCAGCCATACACACTCTCTTCCCAGAAAGCGTCCATGTGGATCATTAATGGACGAGAATTTATGACAAATCCACCATCTGTGAGTTCCAGGCTGAGCCAGGATGCTCAAGAGAGAAGTGGCTGCATTTAAAGGAAAAGCTCACCCAAAATGCATCGTTTACATAGTTTACCCTCTGTTGGTCCAACCCTTTTCATATTGTTTTCTCTCTTTCATTGAGCATATAAAGAGAAGTTTTTTGGTAGCACTTTATTTTGATGGTCCATTTGAGTATTAGTAGACTGTCTGCTTAATATCTGTTGATACTGCTCCTTAAACAGATATTTAGCTGACTATAAGAAACTTTGCATGTACATGTCAACTTACACTAACCCTTACCCCAATCTAATAGTCTACTTATAATCTAATGAGAGTTAGTTGGCATGTAGATGCAATGTAACTTAAATTAAAAAAACGGACCATCAAAATAAAGTGACAGTTTTTTTAAACAACTAAGTTGCCCTACCATAAATGGAATTTGAAAGCCATGAAGCAAATGTTTTTTGTGAATAACTACTTAAATATCACACAGTTGCCCATGCAATGCAGCCACAAGGCTTGAGAAGCTAACGAATACAGTGCATGAGTAAAAGGAATTACTTCTCATAACACATTTCTTAATTGTTTTGCCCTTAACAGGTTGTAGTCGAATATACCAGTCAGAAACTGATGTTTAATAACAACTGATCAATCTTTTAAGACTGAGAGTTCTGAGGTTGTTAATTGAATGTACAGTATGTTGGTATTGCAGTTATATATAGTTGAAGTCAAAATTATTCACGCTCCTGTGGTTTACTTTTTCTTATTCAATTATTTCCCAAATGATATTTACAGTGCAAGGATTTTTCAAAGTAAGTCCTATACATTTTTTTTTTCTTCTGGAGAAAGTCTTATTTGTTTTATTACACTTAGAATAAAAGCACTTTTTTATTAAAAAAAAAAAAAAAAACATATTTAAGGTCAATATTACTAGCCCCCTATTTTTTCGATTGTCTACAAAACAAATCATGATTTGCCTAATCACCCTAACTTGGCAAAAAAATTTCACAATTTGTCTGTTAATATTTTTCTCTTCTGGACAAAGTCTTATTTGTATTATTTTGGCTAGAATAAAAGCATTTTTACTGAAAAAAAAACATTAAGGTCAAAATTATTAGCCACTTTAAGATATATATATTTTTAATAGTCTAGAACAAACCATCGTTATACAATAACTTGCCTAATTACCCTAACTTGCCTACTTACCCTAGTTAAGTCTTTAATGTTACTTTAAGCCGTATAAAAGTGTTTTGAAAAATATTATGGCAAAGATAAAATAAATCAGTTATTAGAAATAAGTTATCAAAACTATTATTACTCTTAGAAATGTGTTGACAAATATTTTCTCTCCGTTACACAGAAATTGGGGAAAAATAAACAGGGTGGCTAATAATTCAGGGGGGCTAATAATTCTGACTTTAACTGTAGATGTGCCTAACTGGCACTTGAATTGAAGATTGGCATTTTATGGTTACAACGGGAACTGAATGTTGAAAATGTAACCAAAATGTATGTTGTTTGCATTACCATGACCAAATGATCCCATAAAATAAAATATCCATAAGTTTACACAAGGGTTCAAGTGAATGGAAAAAATTTGCACTTAATGTTGCTGAAGAAAATGGTCTGGCAGTAACACACATGTATGCTTTCATTTTATCAAGAAAAGAAAAGCAGCTTGGCCTTCAAGCAAAACATCTCAGTTTGTGTTCTACAAAAGTAATAAAGAATTTGGAATGAGATGAGCATGAGTAAATGAAATGTATCGGTGACCTTGCCAGGTTCAGCAAAACGTGGCAATTGAACATACTTGCTATAATCAAGTTTCTCACTCTAAGCCAAATATTATATTCCCTGGCTTTTCCTTGACTAAAAAGCTACATTTCTATGACCTAGTCACCTATTTTTGATGTAACAGCAGTGCAAATTCTGGTTTTATTGACTCTGATTGTTTTTTAGCCATACGAAACAACTTGTTATGCTGTTTGATGTTGCAAACTGCCATTTTCTTATCCCACCGTTTCAATTTTAATGTATTATCATAAACATGCATGTTTGAAGCACAAGTAGTTTGACTGTTTACTGACGTTCATTATTCTTAGTAATTTTCCCATAATGCCAAATTAATCAAGTACAGCCTGGTGACTGCATGTGACTGCAAAAAATTCAATAAAAAATTTGTCATTTATTCTCCCTTTACTTGTTCCAAAACTGTTAGACTTTCTTTATTCTGTTAAATACAAAAATTATTTTGAAAAAAGCTGAAAACTTATAACCATTGACTTCAATTCGTATTTGTTTTTCCTAATACAGAAGCCAGTGGTTAGAGTTTTTAAACTTTTTTCCCAAATATCTTCTTCTATGTTCAATGGAAGAAAGAAGCTTATAAAGTATGTCTGCATGATTAATCGTTTCTAAACCGAAATAGCAATTTGAATGATCTAATTATGACAGTAAGGTCTGACTTTGCTCAGACAAAAGTCTGGTCACTTAACAAAAATACAGTATACAGTATAAAATACAAAATCTTGGTACAGCGGAAAATAAATTAATATTGTGTACAACTCCCATGAGCTTAGATGACTGCATTCATACATCTCTGCAATGAGTCAAATAACTTAGCAATAAAGTCATCTGGAATGGCAAAGAAAGCATTCTTGCAGGACTCCCAGAGTTCATCAAGATTTTTTGGATTTATCTTCAATGCCTCCTCCTTCATCTTACCCTAGACATGCTCAATAATGTTCAAATCTGGTGACTGGGCTGGCCAACCCAAGAGCACTTCGACCTTTTTTGCTTTCAGGAACTTTGATGTGAAGGCTGAAGTATGAGAAGGAGCGCTATCCTGCTGAAGAATTTGCCCTCTCCTGTGGTTTGTAATGTAATGGGCAGCACAAATGTCTTGATACCTCAGGCTGTTGATGTTGCTTCACTCTGCAGATCTCTTACATGCCCCCATACTCAATGTAACCTCAAACCATGATTTTTCCATTACCAAACTTGACTAATTTCTGTGTGTACGTATGTTCTGTGTAATTCCATGTGGGTTCCAACAGGTCTTCTATAGTATTTGTGATGATTGGGATGCAGTTCAACAGATGACTCATTGAAAAACATCTACATTGTGCCACTTGTCCAAATGATCAACTAGAAGTCAAGTTATAGTTTGTTGCTCTTACAATTGGGATCGACAGCAAGACTTTTGTCAGGTATAGTTTTTGACAGTTTGTAAGCACATTACCTTGATCAATGTGAAAAATGTAACAATATAAATGTGAAGGTTTCATGCTGACCTTTTGCCTTTAGAATTCTTCAAGCTTTTTGCACTTTAAATGTCAAAGCTGTTTGCTGTCATTGTTTTAATCTTAAATGCAAGCTATCGTCAGGGTTTTACTGATGTAAAATTGTTCATGATGTATTTGGATTCTTAAAAGTTAAAGATTTTACATACAATTATTTTATTTTATTTAAGATACTGTATTTTTCTTAATTGGTCAAGACAACTGACAACTTTGTTTTTTAATAAATGGCAAAAATATTAAAGAGGTTTAAATAAACAATAGAATAGTGTAGCATACTTTGTGATTATGTTTGGTCTTTCTTTGGCTCTGTTAAAACCAGTGTTGGGGGTAACGCATTACAAGTAGCGCGAGTTACTTAATAATGTTACTTTCCCAAGTAAGGAGTAAAGTAATGCATTACTTAAAAAAATTAAGTAATAATTTTTGAATTACGTCTTTAATAATGTAACGCGAGTTACTTTTTAGATGAATTAATTCGCTTTTTTTTTTTAATTGCTGGATTAAAATTAGTGTAATCAAGTTGAATCACACTCAATGAGAGAATGAGCTCCCTGTGCAAACAGACAGAAACCAACATGGCAGAACCTTACATCTGTGTGATGGAAGTACTCTCATTACTTTGAACACATGGAAGAAAAGGGGATAGTCTCAATGGACAGTGATTTTACTGAACTACTAAGACAAAAATACAAAAGTAGCAAACACATGGCTTTCAACTTTCATAAATTTGTATATATAGCATGGGCAGCATCAGGAAGTTCTCTGAAGTTTTCATTGTTTTTTTTTTTATTTGTTTTTTATAAAGGTAAATAAAGGTTTAGGTTATACAATGTGTCGATAAATGCAGCAGAGCTACTCTATTAAAAACAAAAAAAAAACACCCTGCAAAATCTGAAAGAGTTCAAGCCTCAGGCAGGTGTGAAAAAGTAACTCAAAAGTAACGTGATGCATTACTTACCAAAAAAAGTAACTAAGTAACGCAACTACTTTTTTTGGGAGATTAACTCTAAATTGTAATGCAATGTAACTTTAATGTAATTACTTTTAAAGGTAACTTTCCCCAACACTGGTTAAAACCACCACATCAAGCTCTTTTATGAAATAGTATTAACCTCTTAAGACCCAAGGTATTTTTGTACATGTAAAAGTATCATCTTTTGATATTATGTACTTTTAGAGAAAAATGATGTCCATATGTGAACTCGTGATCTGAACTTACATAAAACACTTTTTCCTGACTGTTTTTAATGCATATATAACATAAACATTTTTTGAACATGTTTTGACTATCAGAGAGTAAAAACAATTTTTTTTTGCCCATTTTGGACAGCTAAAAATTGTGTTTGGGACATTTCATAAGCTGCTAAACAGCTGCAGGATGACACTGTATGTCTGTAACAAAATATAAAGCATTCAAAGTATTTAAAATAGCCGCTTAAGAGCTAAGTCCTAATTATAAAGGTTTAAAACCACTTTAAGGATATTAAATAGTGAGTAAAGTTTTATTTTAGGGAGTAAACTATCACTTTAAGCGACTGCCATTTGATAAGCAGGAAAAAGATAAAATGACACAAAAAAAACAACAACAAAAGAAGTCAAACAACACAATTAAAAAAAAAAAAAGTCCCTGATATTCCATGAATTGGACAAAAATATAAATAAAGTTCCCTGGCTTTTAGTGTCTGGTTTGGAATGTCTTACCTGTAATCATGTAAGCAGTACTCATCTTCAAGCTCCATACCATTCCAAATCAAATGCTGCTGAGACACCGGGATGCCTGTGATTGACCAAACATATGTCATATACAAGATGAGTACATACAGACATCTTTTTTTAACACAAACTACAATAAACATAAAACTACAAGCCATTACAGCAGCAAACAAAAGAGCAACTGCAGGTGCATGAGGTCAGCATCTGACTGCAGTTAATGCTTGACCAAGCGGAATGTTTCTGAACTGCAATCATTGAAAGGGAGAAGAAAGAGAAAGATAACATCTGGCTGTTGAGTAGTAAAAATCCATATCCAGCTGCACCTTCACACACCCGTGAGACATTAAGGCACAGATTTTAAGGATTACATGTCCACTGTCCAAACGGCTTTTAACTCAAGAACGCTTTAGTTAAGATATCATGGTGGAGATGAAAAACTGATGGCAAACCAAGTGCATCAATTAGTAAACAAATAAAAAAAAAGGTCATATGTCTTTATGTAAATGTACTGGAAAGATTTAAGATTTAAATGTGGCCACAAAACCACATTAGTGGTTTAAAAAGTAGTGAATTCAAAACAAGACAAATGCCTTCATTCATTTTCCTCCTTGATGATGTTTCATGTTGTTATTTGTTTTTTCTTTACATTAAACTTTAAAGAAATCCCCAACGTTAGAAATAGCAGAGCATTAAGATGACTCCATGCTCACAGAGCTTCCATTTCTGCAGGATTTATTCTTTTGATATAAACAGAATCGACCCTATTTTAAAAGTTTGGGGTTGGTATAATTTTTTAATGTGGATAAATTAGGATTAAGGCTGCATTTATTTATTAAAAATACAATAAAAACTGTAATAATGTGGTATTTTTGCCTTTTAAAAGAACTGCTTTCTATAGATTTTTCATAAAGTCATTACTTCAGGCTTCAAATATATTGTTTGGGCACTGATATCCCAATGTGTGTAACCGCAATAGTCACATTGCTGGATTAAATGATATATTAAAAAGTTTAAAAGGTAAAAATATTATCAAATATAATTTTAAAAAAATAATTTTTACAATAATGACCGTGTTATTTTAGATTTGATTTTCAATTTTTGCATTTGAATACTGTTAGACTTTCTAGAAAACTGCTTATTTATTTATATATATTTTGCTCGTTATTTATTATGCAGTAATTTATGCAAAATATACCAAATCAAATCCTGCTGAATCACCAGGATGCCTGTAAGTGACCGAACATATAGAAGAGGAGTATGTACAAACATATTTTATAATACAAACTACAAGAAATATTTAACCACAAGCAATGGACCCTCTTTACAAGATGACATGTTTAACGATCATCATAATGTTAAATCCTTGAAAGTTTTAAATTTTATTAGGTTTTTAAAAATTGTATGAACATTTATACGTTTTTATCTTCATGCATCATCTTTGCTTCAAATTACAAAAAAAAAAAATGATTCACCGCTTATGTGAGGTGTTTCTAATGCATAGTCTATAGGGCGGAGTATAAATTTATTTGACGTTATTCACTCCCTTGGTTATCAGTCTCCCACATTTATTTTTCCTTTTTCTGAACAACAACATCCAGTAGTTTTTCTTTTATTATTTAAACAAATAAGATTGTAAAAAAAATATTTGGTGTACTCTCCCATTCACTGCAATCTGAGTTTACCTAGCTGTGAAGCCTTCCACTACTGAAAAACCCGGAAATGTAACTATTTGTATAATATGACTGTTATTTTACATTGATTGTCAATTTCTAACCTTGAATACTGTTAGACTCTTCAGAAAATCATAAAGCACTGTTTATTTATTTATTTTTGCTTGTTATTTTTAAGGCGTACTTTTTGCAGATGCACCGCATAGAAAAAGACTTTATAATCCCAGTTGACCTAAATGAATAAAAATTTCCCAAATAGAGCTATTTAAAACATCAAAATGTTCATATGAATGTCTTATCATACATTTTATTCATATCACAATATATAAATCGCAGCAAAACAAAATATTGCAGTGTCAGATTTTTCCAATATTGTGCAGCCCTACTTCAGTGTCACATGATATTTTAGAAATTATTCTAATATGATGATTTACTGATCAAGAAACATTTATAATAATAATAATTATTATTATTATTATTATTTTATTTAATATATTTTTATATTATTATTAAATACTTTGTGGAAACAGCTTTTTTGCAGGATTATCTGATTTAATTTTGTTACAATTAATACGATTATTATTATTATTATTATTATTAGTAGTAGTAGTAGTAGTAGTTGTAGTAGTAGTAGTAGTAGTAAGAGTAGTAGTAGTAGTAGTAGTAGTAAGAGTAGTAGTAGTAGTAGTAGTAGTAGTAGTAGTAGTAGTAGTAGTAGTAAGAGTAGTAGTAGTAGTAGTAGTAGTAAGAGTAGTAGTAGTAGTAGTAGTAGTAATAGTAGTAGAAGAAGAAATAAAAATAAAACATTTTTGCTGTCACAATTTAATGCATCCTTGCTAATTACAAGGGGAAAAAAGTGTGTCGTCTATTTATCTGCAGCCTACAAGTTAGAACAATGATATTTAACCTGTGATCTATCTATAATTGTACCTAACAAATGTTTCTTAGGCATAAGGAGTCTTAAAGGAATATTTATTAAACTTTAACCAAGTTAAAGTAGGCCTAGCTCTTTAAGTCTTTTTTGATGATATTACTCCCTATTATCAGAAATACTTACTAACACAAACAATACTTTACCACTGATCTTCTAGAAACATTTAACCATGAATGCAGTGAAACTGTTCAATCATTTTAGTAAATACTCATAGAAAAAGGCCACCAGCAGATCAAACACGACTCAGATCTGCCCCCCTGTGTACATCAAATAAACCAACAACCATGTCAGCTCTAAATCTAGCAAATATCCCAGTGGTCAGGATATATAATGTTCAAAACTTTACAACATTTTCCTTTGTTAATATAGTTGTTCAAACTTCAGTCTGCCAAAATGCTTGTACATTACATAAAACTCAGCTTAGTTACCATCTAAATTTTTTAGTGCCTGTGATTAAGCCAATCGACGTGCCTTTATCAGGTGTAAAGTGCAATAAGACACCAGAACGCACCCATGCAACACAAAACTGGTGTCCATTCCCTTGAGGAGTAGTTTTCAAGACAGGACGAGCGAGGAGTGTGAAGACAGCCTGAAGTGGTCAGAGCGGTTAGTGTATGTGTGTGTGACCAACATGCCCACTGTTTCCAGATTTGGAAAATGACTTGCCTAGTCATGCCCGTCAAACTATACAATCTCCATTTGTGTAATCTTAAACAATCTTAAAGTTGGCATAAAATTAAATTTTTATTTTTTATAAACATAATTGCAGTGTTTTATTTTACAAATGATGTACATTTTGGAATTTAAGCACCTCATAAGCTTCAAGCACAACATCTCTTCTTATCTCTGATCATGTTTAGGGGTCTGAGGGGGGATCAACTGTCACTCACATGGGATCGACCAATAGCAAACCGCATAATACAACAATTCAATCGATGACTTATGGACAAAATCAAATCCTATCCTAGATGTCTTCTTGTTTGAGTAGCTTTAGCTTGATAAAAACCAGGGGTACCCAAACTTGGTCCTAGAGGGCTGGTGTCCTGCATATTTTAGTTCCAACCCCAATTAAACACACCTGAGCCTGTTAATCAAGCTCTTTTGAGGTACACTAGAAACTTCCAGGCAGGTGTGTTGAAGGAAGTTAGAGCTATACTATGCAGGACACCAGCCCTCCAGGACCGAGTTTGAGCACCCCTGATATAAACAGATAAGCCAAAACGCATGACAACTTTCCTCGAATGCTGTTGGTCCACCATATGCTACAAAACAGCGCCTATTCCAACATGACATGAGATGCATCCCAAATGACACACCATAAACCCTGCACTTATAGACTCAACTATGTAGAGTATGAATTTAGTGTTGTCCCATATGGAAATTCCTACCATTTCCCAGTTAATAATTAAAGCCCTTAACTGTTAGTCCCAATTTTATAAACATAGACGTGAAAATGAGATGCTCAATAAATGTCTGCAAATGATTTTCAACACTTTAATTGCAGACTTAAGCTTGGTCTTATTTTAAAGAAGACACTTGTCAGATTTTACGAGGTGAAAAAAAAATTTTTTTTAGGTTATTTGCCTGTAACCTTATAAAAAAAAAAAAAAAAGAATTTACATTGTATTATATTATAAAAAATATGTATTTTACAAAACCTGTTTTTGCCTAATTGAATTATTAAAAAACAATAGTAATAAAATTAAATAATTAGCCTAAAAATTAAAGCTAAATGTTTTAACAAACATTAAGTAGACACCTTAAATACAGCTTTCAGTAGCATTTTGCTTGGCCTGAGTACCAAACATCACCACCAGATGATATACAGTTTACATTGGCAACCATACTGTATACAGTTGAAGTCAGATTTATTAGCTCCCCTTTGAATTTTTTTTTCTTTTTTAAATATTTCCCGAATGATGTTTAACAGAGCAAGGAAATTTTCACAGTATGTCTGATAATATTTTTGTTTTCTCTGGAGAAAGTCTTATTTGTTTTATTCGGCTAGAATAAAAGCAGTTTTTAATTTTTTTAAAAACCCTTTTAATGACAAAATTATAAGCCCCCTTAAGCTATTTTTTTATCAATAGTCAGAGCAAACCATTGTTATACAATAACTTGCCTAATTACCCTAATGCCGAGTTCAGACTGCATGATTTTAAAAGTAGTCGTGTCACAGATGTTTTCACACTGCATGACTATCTGGGCTAGCGTTTCGTCGCTGCTTTGTTTACACTGCAAGATGGTTCGGCGACATGGACATTCACATTGCATGACTTTACTATAGGGAGAATCGCCGACAACTTCGTCCAAACTACGTCTCACAGCCAAAAACATGTAGTATATCTTTTGTTATTAACTACATAATGAGAAAGAAGCCTTTAATGGGGTAGAACATGTACATGTTTGCTCACCTGGGTTTAAAGGAAATTAGCCATTTCTCCTCAACTTCAGTTGATA